TAGATAGATAGATAGATAGATAGATAGATAGATAGATAGATAGATAGACCCAGATTTAACCACTGCTACTAAAAACCAGGCCGATAGAAACTACGTACAGATTGTGGACAGATTCTGTTGGTCTCTTCCAGACCTGCCGGTGATCAGTGTGAGCCACAGCAGCATAACGGTCGTCGAGGGCGATCAGGTAACGGCGACCTGCAACGGATCCGGATCTCCCCTACCGGAGGTGGACTGGCCGGTCAACGGCCTGCACTCCATCACAACACACGGGGTAGGACAGACTCACACCGACTCACACTGACTCACAGCACAGTGGTCAGACCTTACATCAGTCGTGGACAGATAACTGACCTCTATTTGGTGGTACCATGCTAGCCTTGACTTAAAGGAGACATATTATACCCGATATCAACAAGTTAAACTAGTTCCCTGGTGTCCTAATGTAATGTCTGTGACAAGCTTTGGTCAAAATCCCATAAGGATGAAGCCCAATAGCAGTTCAGTCCCCCTGCCTAACCCTAACCCTAACCCTAACCCTAACCCTAACCCAAAACAGCCCCGTTCAGAGCGCTCGCTTTGGAGTGCCTGTCTCTTTAAATGCAAATGAGACACAGGCAATCCACCCACTTCTTCAGGGAGGTGTGCCCACGTCGGCACGCTAACGCTACCATGCTAACGCTAACATGCTAACGCTCACGCTAGCACGACGTCTGCCACTTTGCCTGCTGATAGGCCCTCCACAGTCCCAAATCTACATAATCAAATTATTAAAAACTTGGTTTTGCATAATATGTCCCCTTTTATAATCGAGTATTAATTCAAATGTTGTGGTGACTTTGTAATATTACTGCACTACCTTGAAAGTATGCTTAAACTAACAGGCGTCAGGTCAGAAATACCAATCTTCAGCCTTATAGCTGGACGTAACCGAGGGTTATTTGGCCAGTTATCTCTGACATGAACAGGCCAGGTCCTAATTCATGCAGGTTTCGGTTGAATGTGATAAGAAAGTGTGTGAATATTGACCTTAAAGACAAGTATCTACTCTAACAGAGAGGAGGAGGAGTAGGCACAGTTAGAGAGTTTAATCCAAAAGTATAATTATAAAGGGAATAATAGAAATCTAAAAAGGAATAGGAAAATCAGTCATTTACGTGGATTAAGTTATAACATACTGTGCTAAAGTGAGTAATTATAGCCCGATTCTAACACACTTTTGAGTGTCATTTGATGTGTTCTTTCCTTCTCTTTTGGTACGTGCACGTGTTGTCGTGCTTTCCCTCCAGCCTTCGGTCTACGACCACAACATCCACTCCATCAACATCACGCTGGTCAGCGTGAGCAGGGACGACAACAACTTCCTGCTGACCTGCACGGCCACCAACGTCGTGGGCATGACCAATGCGTCCGTCCACCTGACCGTTCACTGTGAGTCCACACACAGAACACACAAACACACACATACACACACATACACACTAGGGGTGGGACGGTTCACAAAATCCACGGTTCGGTTCGATTCACGGTTTCGTGGTCACGGTTTTCGGTTCGGTTCGGTATATGTTGATTGTTAGGAAAATCTATTATATCTTGTATAGTCAGGTTAAAACTGAAAGAAAAAAGCAGTCTGACATTTGATACATTATTGTGACAGTCTGAGGTTAAAAGTAGGTGAGATTCTGGCCTTGCAAGCGAGGAAATGGTGCTAATTCCAACACGTGCTTCCCTCTAAATGCAAAGTGGTCCATACAGCAGACCTAGAAACTGCTGTTGGCGCGTCTGATTTTTATCGGCTACGCTGCTTCTTCTTCTTCTTGTTTCCTACTGGTGGTTGGCTTTGGGCGCAGTAGCGCCCCCTTCTGCTCTGGAGTGTAAACGCTTCCCTCTGAGAAAAAGGAGCAGCATGAACCGAACGCAACACACGCGAACCGAACCAAGACAGTCCAACCCAACGGTTCGAACGGTTTTCAGAAACCGTCCCATCCCTAATACACACACGTCCACGCTAATAAAATGTGTGCAGTACTATCATTTTAGCCATTTATTTGAGAAAATTTGGAACAATTCTGTCAGGGGGTGGATCTTAGGGGGGACTCAGATAAGGAGAGCTCGATTCTAAGGGTTTATTTTAACAAAAAATGCACTAAAAAGGAGTGGTTGACCAAACAAGGTTCAAAAACAAGGCTGTGGCAAAACTATGAACAAAGTATCAAAGTAAGAGTAACAAGTCTATGAACAAAGTATCAAATCAAGATTAACAAGGCTATGGCAAAAAGTACTAAAAGTAAACAAGACTATGGCAAAAGTATCAAAACAAGATTAACAGGACTGTGGCAAAAACAAGGCTGTGGCAAAGTGCAAAAGTCTAAATCTTACGTGACATGGACAAGACGAGGAACGAAGGTGACGAAGACACAAAAGCAAAAGTAAAAAATGACGAAACACAAAGTGACGAAAACACACTGGCACAGGACATGGGAAACGAGGACTATTTAAACACATGAGGGAGGGGAACCCCAGGTGTACACAATAGGTAATCAAGACATCAATCAATCAATCAATCAATGTTTATTTATATAGCACTTTACAACAACCGGAGCTGATCAAAGTGCTTTACAGAATAAAAACAGATCAAACTATCGAACAATACAAAATAATACACAAAGACAAACACATCGGTGACAGAACCCAGTATACAGAGACCCTACGTGCAAAAAGCCATCCTTAACAAATACGTTTTAAGTTGCGCTTTGAACAGTGGCAGGTCAGTAAATGAACGTAACCCAGTGGGCAGAGAGTTTTTCCACAGTTTAGGACCTGCCACATGACAACACACCAGACGTGACAAATTCATCGTTTGAGGTCTCCAAAGGTCCAAAAACCCTTCTGCTAATTATTCCAGTTGCCCCCAGCATCGTGAGGCTGAAGGAGCCGGAGCGTCGCCATGACACCTGCATCGAGTTTACGGTCCGGGGTTCCCCTCACCCCGTTTTAAGGTGGCTCTACAACAACGAGGTGAGAAGGACGCTACTCCACAAACGCTGTTGTGCAGATTAACCCTTTAAGATAAGATAAGGTAAGATAAGATAAGATAAGATAAGATAAGATAAGATAAGATAAGATAAGATAAGATAAGAGCTTTATTGATCTCACAGTGGAGAAATTCACTGGTCACACATCGGTTAGAGTTCGAAAGGAGGAAAAGGTGCATAAAGTACAGCAAAAGCAAACAAATATACAAGGAAGCAACACAGCGCAGAGAAAGCCTGATCCAAGAATAAAACAAAACTGAAAATTACTTTTTTTTTTGGTTTTAAGTCTTTATTTGGCCTTTTAACAAAATAAGTAAAAAGAAAAAAAACAAAAAGATAAAATTTTTATATTAATAATTTATTACTATGCGATAAGTCAAGATTATTTTTTGTGTAGTCTTCTGCCCCCTGTTATCAGGTGTATCTGATTGTGTACAATAGGATTTTTAGCAAAGTTTTTACCATTAAATTATGCAAAAGGTGTCAGACGCAAAACATTTCAGAAACAGTATGTATCAAATATGATACATTTGGCATTACGGGGTTAAACATTTACTTCCTATGCAGATGTTTCCAGAATTAAATGTATAAAATGAATAATATGGGGCAGTCACAGCATGAAGGTTCTGGGTTCTTCCTCTTTGGTTTACTTTATGATACCATTTTTTATATTAATGGATCAATTTTGACCGTTTCTTAAATCAGTTGTAAAATACACTAAAACAATTATATTCATGTTTTACCTTGTTATGTTTCCTTATTGATGAAAATATTGTTTTAAATATGTATTGTGTGGGTCTTAGAGCCTTTTTTGACAGTAATCGTCTCAATTAAAGTTAAAAATTGGTCAAAATGAGTCTCAAAGGAGTCATATAAAAATGACTATTACCAATGGGAATGTCTGCCTAGGTATTCTGATTTAATCGTTTTTGTTTGATTCTTGTATTTGAGTTTTTAAAAGCCCTATGCAAATAAATTGAAATAAAAAATAACATTCTCATTTGTCTACCTTTTATTACTCTTCATTTAAGGAAATCTCTCCTTCTGAGTACCTGCGACCCGACATGGTCGTTTACCAGGACTACATAGAGGGGTGCCTAACATTTAAAAACCCCACGCACCACAATAACGGCAACTACACTTTGGAAGCAACCAACTACCTGGGGGTCGTCTCCACCACCGTGTATGGGCACTTCCTCAACAAACCCTTCGATGGTAAGCCGGGATTTTATAGTCCGGCTGAATTAATATCTGTCATCACACTGTATGCGACACTAATGGCTGTAAAGGCCAAAATAAAGAGCATCTGTAGTTATCCCCACTGTGGTTTAACCTGTTGCTCAAACAGTTATATTAACCCTTTAAAGCCTGATCCAAGAATAAAATAAAAGAGAAAAATTATTTTGTTTTGGTTTGAAGTCCTTATTTGGCCTATTAACAAAATATGTAAAAAGAAAAAACAGAAATGCATTTTTAATATGAATAATTTATTACTATGCGATAAGTCAAGATTATTTTTTGTGTAGTCTTCTGCCCCCTGTTATCAGGTGTATTTGATTGTGTAAATTAGGATTTTGAACAAAGTTTTTACCATTAAATTATGCAAAAGGTGTCAGACGCAAAACACTTCCGAAACTATATCAAATATGATATATTTGGCATTACAGGGTTAACTATAGAATATATTTTATTAAGTGAAAACTTAAAAACTAGGACCCAGGAGTGGCCTATTTTCTTTTAATGAAGCTTATTTTTCTCACCTTTCGACATGTTTATGAGCGCATATTACCATTATCTTATTGTATATCTTGTCATACTACTTGTCTGCTCCTTTTTACAGATCAAGAAACAGATTATGATTATGGTAAGTCTCTTTTCAAACACGAGTAAAAGAGCTCTGACTCTTTGTGTTCTGTTAAGTTTTTACATTTCAAGAGACATTCACACATGTTCACACACCAACAGACATCATATCTAAGTTAGATATGATGTGATGTGGATCTAAATCAGTGTTATCCTCAGGAATACCAAATATATTTATGTATTTATTTATGTATGGGTAATTTCAGAATTGCAGGTACATTTCGCGTCTCCCACAAAAACCTTTGGTTATTTCCCCTTAAAAAAAGTCTTTACTGGATTTGTTTAAATTAATATTGCTAATTATATTGAATGTTCACCAATAATAATGTTTGGCGTGTATTTTAGGAACAATTTGCATGTAAAATATACATTTAATGATTCCCACCCCACCAATTATTGACTGTCTTCAGCTTGTGATTCACACGTTCATGTTGAATTAACATGAAATACTTCAGTATAATTTGCAGTTTTTTTGTGCTAATTCTACAAATACTTATACAATCAGTTGCACAGAGTATTTATTTTCTGTATATATATATATATATATATATATATATATATATTAGGGCTGTCAAAATAACGCGTTAATTTCGATTAATTAATTTTAGAAAAAATAACGGATTAAAAAAAATAACGCAAATTAATCAATGTCGTATTGACCTTTGACCCGGAACCGTTCTCGTAAGTCACCATTAGACCAGAGACGGTTGAATCTTTGATTAGACTCTAAAATGAAAGAGGGAGACGAGAACGCGCTGCCTGGGTCATTGATTTAATAATTTATTTATAAAAAACGCCCTGACGGAAGTGTTGACAAAAGTAAAGTCATCTGCAATCTGCAAATTCGCTTACCACCGGAGTGCGTCAACTCTTAAGTACCACATCAGTGCAAAGCATCCAGGAGTTAACCCGCAGGTAGGACCACGACCCAGCACGTCCTCATCATCAAACCACACTGGAGCCAACACCGAAATGGAAACTAAGCAAATCTGCAATTCCCTTGCTAAATGGATCGCAAAGTCTTTCAGACCGGTTTCATTCGAGTCGTTTGCGTTAGCGATGCTAAAAACAGAGACCAGGCTTTACGCCGATGCCTGCGCCCAGAAGTTTTAGTCTGTGGCGGAGGCATGGGGAGTTCAACCAAAGATCACCACAGTCGGCACAGACAGCGCCCCAAACATGATCACTGCAGCGAGAAAGCTTCCATATGAGCACATGTTCATTTGTTTTCATTCTGCCCCCTACGTTACGGTGTGCCACAACGACACGTTAAACGTCTGAAGGCATGACATTTAATGTATCTAATGCTGATTATTCATTTTATCATTTTAAATGAAATATTTCAAATACTTTCACTGAAAAAATTATATGCGATTAATTTAGATTAATTAATTACAGAGTATGTAATTAATTAGATTAATTTTTTTAATCGATTGACAGCCCTAATATATATATATATATATATATATATATATGAGTGGAACTTAACCTTTCTGCCACATTTTTTTAACCTTTTAAAATCAAATATCTGTACATCTGCTTAATATATCCAATATTTTCAGTATAAATAGCTTCCCCTGCAGAACTAGTACAGTAAATGATAATTATATGCATTTAAATGGTTTTATTTTTGTAAATCTCTGCAAATTGTCGATGTGTATAAAACATCCGGTACAGATAAACTTTTCTTGCCTCTGTTTTTTTCCAGTAACTCCGACGGCAGACACTCATAAACCTATGGAAGATACTTTTGGGGTGAGTGTGTGAACCATATGCATTATTGAATAATTTTATGCATTCCAATTCTCTAATGTAGTTTGTTTAATCCCTATAACACGTTAAATGCATCGATCCATAGTATCAGGACAGACAGAAATCTGGGATAGGAAGCGGTGGTCATCAATCTGTACAACGCCTCCCTCTGAGAGTCAAACTTAATCATTGACACTATCCACCTCTCATTTTGACCTACATATACACATATTGTTTTTTATGTATATATCTAGCTATATTTATGAGGAATTTTGTATATATACATGTATATATGTATAGACATGTATATATGTATATGCCTTTGTTTTGCTTATGGAGCCTGTAACAAAAATTATTTCCCTCTGGGATTATTAAAGTATTTCTGATTCTGATTCTGATTCTGATTCTGATTCTGGATGGGTCTTTAATCCTGACCCTGTGTGCAGGTTTCTGTGGCCGTGGGCCTGACCGGTTTTGCCTGCGTGGTCCTGGTGGTTTTCTTCCTGCTCCTCAGCAAATACGGCCGGAGGTCAAAGTTCAGCATGAAAGGTTTGGCGAGCGTCTATTTCTGGTGTTCAGAGTGTCACTTTTGTCCCACGTTTGCTGAACAAGTTTGGAAATGAGAAAAAAGAAATTCAATAGCACTTCAAAATTATCAAAATTATTATTATTTAACTCATTGACTGCCAGCCATTTTCAGAACAGAGTCCCATACTGCCAGAGTTTTTTTTAGCATTTTCACTGATTTTTCAAGAGCCACAGAATAGTTTGTGCTATGACTATGTAAACACCGAACACACCAAAAGAAAGAGTAGACTCTCTTCTTTCATCAGGAAAAAGAATGTGTTTCTACCTTATTTCGTTCTTCCTCGACGTGCGTCTCACCGGCGACATGTTCTCTCATAGCGAACCGTTAGCTTTTTCTTATTTGCCTACAGTCTATGCTCATCTCCCATCAAAAGTGGCACTGCCCCCTAGAGGGTCAATTTGTTACTACATACTCTGTCTAGAAGCCTGATATTTACGGACAAGCTTTAGCAGATCGTCCCCCAGCCACTCTCGTTGAAAAACATAAAAGACGTCTATAGACGCCTTTGGCAGCCAATGAGTTAATAATTAATATTAGAAATAATTTAAAATATTCAATATACTGTTCTCACCCCTGTGATGCCATATGTATTATATTTGATACACATTGCTTCTGAAATGTTTGGCATCTTAGACCTTTGCATCTTTAAATGGTAAAATCTTTAAAATGGTTAAAATTCAAAACCCTGTTGTAGACAATCAGATATACCTGATACACAACAATATTTTTTACTTATTGCATGGTAATAAAATATGCATATAAAAAAAAATATTCGGTTGATTTATTTTCACATATTTTCAACATCCTCATTATTATCATTACAATTATTATTATCATTGTTATTATTTAGTATCTTGATTACCATTATCGTAATCAATCGTATCATAATTATATTTGTTACTATCACTTTTTTTTTTACAAGTAAAGGGGAAGAATGTGAAATCCCTGGTAAACAAAGTGGGAAAGCTTCAGGTAATCTCAGTAATTCTTGAAAACGGGACTCTGTTCTGGAGGTTAGAGAGAAAAAGTGGGAGTCCCCCGGGCCTCACTGTCTCAGACACACAACCCCTCATTCATACAAACTGTGGTGTGTTTGCCAGGGAGTCAATAATCCGGGCAATTCACCTCTGTTCCTCAAATAACCGTGGAGTGTGTGTTGTATTAAACGGACAGCAGAAATTACAAAACACTTAGCTCACTGCCTCCTCTGGGCAGATAAGAGAAGCTGAGAGAGGATCTTTATCTGTTATGGAGCTCCCTCACCAGATTCTGTGACACGTATCAGGTGCTCTGTTTGCTTATTGATCTCCGAAGCATCTACTGGCCCGTCTTTATGTTTTCTGAGCTTCGGAGTCGCACCCTTTCAGCTGCATATAAAGTTACTTTTTATGTTGAAATCATATGCTCTTATTGAAACCACAGCTGGAGAGTTGGGAGGCAAAGAGGAGACGGCCTGCACCATCTTTATGCTATCGTATTTCAAAAATATAATGTAAAGGCAGTGATGTATAAAGTACTGGAGTAGAGGAGTGGAGTAGAAGTACAAGTACTATATTAAAAAATTGACTGGAGTAAAGGTTGAAGTGTTCTTTCAACACCATACTTAAGAGGAAGTACGAAAGTACTCAATATTTTTTATAATTAAGTATTGCAAGTATAAGTATTTCAAAAATTGCTACTCAAGTATCAAAAGTACAAGTATAAGTAAAAGTACAAGTACTATGTATATTTAAAAAAGGCAGTCAAAAGTGTGATAGATATTGTTTATGATATTTCAAACGTGTGAAAGGCCATACAGGTGTTTACAAAATACAGAAAACTACATCTCCATTAGCAATCAACAGCTCTTCATCTACTATTATTTATTATTCCAGAGTCAGAATCCTGAGCTGAGCCTTTATGCTAGCATGTAGCATACAGCTAGCCAGCTAGGTTAGCTTTAGTTAACGTTATCATACAGCTAGCCAGCTAGGTTAGCTTTAGCTAACGTTATCATACAGCTAGCCAGCTAGGTTAGCTTTAGCTAACGTTAGCTGCTACGTCCTGAGTGAACTAGCGCTTATTTACTAGCTTATGTCATTGTATTCCCAAACCGGGACAGAACTATCTATCATTACGTTTATAGGCATATATCAGTAACGACTAACGCTTCAGCCCGTGAAAGTAAAAGTAAAAGTATTAAATTAAACAAAAATATGTAGTGGAGTAAAAGTAAAAGTAGGTAAAAAATATAGACTCCAATAAAGTACAGATACTGCATTTTGGTACTTAAGTTCAGTAGTTAAGTAGTTCTACTTCGTTACTGAACATCTCTGTGTAAAGGTACGGAAACCGAGCTAAAATAATTTGGACAGTACCAAATATGACACATATGGCATTATAGGGTTAAAAAAACGAAAAATCTAATCACATCTGAGGTCCTTTATCTCATTGTTTGAAAGGAAAATGTCCCCGGAACGCTAACAGTTACTTAACATCACAAAAGCTTATGTTGAGACACATAAAAAAGAAAAATCTGATCAAATCTGAGGTCCTTTTGACAGGAAAAACTGTCTCTGTTTGACAGGAAAAACTGTCTCTGTTTGACAGGAAAAAGTCCCCGAAACGCTAACAGTAAAGATGTTTTCATCTTCTTTAACGATGGCCTTGTCTTTCCAGGGCCAGTCGCGGTCATAAGTGGTGAGGAAAACTCCGCGAGTCCTCTTCACCACGTGAACCACGCCATCATCAGCCCCTGCATGCTGGACGTGGGGCCGGACGCCGTGGTGATCGGCATGACCAGGATCCCCATAATCGAGAACCCCCAGTACTTCAGACACGGACTCAACGGCAGCAAGCCGGCCACCTGTGAGTCCTGGAGTTTATTTAGAGCCTTTGACGTAAAACACAGTCTCTGTGTGGAAAGTTGAATGCAAAAAATTTAACAAAAATAAAAAAAACGTTTAAAATTTGGTCAAGGAGGGTGGATCTTGAGGGAGGACTCAGGCGTGGAGATGCAGAAAAACAGGGTTTATTGTAACAAAAACAGGTTCAAAAACAGGGCTGTGGCAAAACTATTAGCAAAGTAATAAAGCAAGGTTAACAAAACTGTGGCAAAGTATCAAAATAAGACTGTGGCAAAAGTACAAACAAGATTAACATGGCAGTGTTCAAACAAGGCTATGGCAAAGTAACAAAATAAAGATGAACAAAACTGTGGCAAGGCTGTGGCAAAACATGGCTACGGGAAATAATCAAAACCTCACATGGCGTGGGGACACAAACGAACTGGTACAGGACATGGGAAACGAGGACTATTTTAACACATGAGGGAGGGGAACCCCAGGTGTACACAATAGGTAATCAAGACATGACAACACACCAGACATTCCCCCAGACGTGACAAATTTAGTTTAAAATTCCTAGTTTTTAAGTAATTTCATCATCATCATCATCCTCATTATTATTCTTATTATTATTCTTATTAAAGCTTTTAAAGCACGTTTTTTGGGCCTGAGAGTTCATCCCAGTTATTATTCTGTAAATCCCTGGAAATGATAAGCAAAATATGGAAATAAGGAAAGCTATAAAGATGTTTTATGAGCTAATTGGTGCGATTTGACGTTCAAAAATGTCGAAGCCAATCATGCAATCTTCCAGTCACTGATTGCCTTTGATTCATGTTGTTACACCATAAGTTGGTGAACTAGCTCTACAGTTCAGGGGAAATAGTTGCTTTAACCTGCTCTGTTGGTCACAAATAATTTTAATAATAAACAAAGTAAGAGGAAAAACGATGTGGCAGCATCCCCGTAAACCACAAACTCACTTATTTTCATTTTATTTATGTCACACCGTTTGACAGCAAAGCTTAAATCCCAAGAGAAAAAGCAAGCGCTTTTAGTAAAAGTCCAAACCAGTGCGGTCAATTTCAGGTGAACTCGGCTTCCAATGCAGAAAAAACAGCATTGCAAAGGGACCCAAATTTTGAAATACATCAAGCTTCCTGGATCCCACATAAAAAGCCTCCAAAAGCAGCAGTGGTTCCAAAATGTGAGGGTGAAGACACAGGTTTCCTTGTAAAGGACGAATAAAGCTGAGTCTGAATGGAGTCCGCTCCTGTCCCTGTCTCTCAGATGTCCAGCACATTAAACGGCA